ATGCAAATGACACAACCTTGCTTTCAGAAAGTGAAAAAGACTTGCTTACTGATGAAGTTCAAAGACTATAGCCTTCAGTATTGATTACACCTCAACATAAAGCAAACAAAAGTACTGACAACTGGACTAAGAAGCAACATCATGATACATGGAGAAAAGATTGAAGCCATCAAGGATTTTGCTTTATTTTGATCCACAATCAATGCCTGTGAAAGCCCAGAAATCAAACAAAACCCAAGGACATCAAGTTCATTCCTACTCATCATGACCTTATAGGACAGAGTAGAACTTCCCAAAGAGTTTCCAAGTTTGTAAACCTTTACAGAAGCAGAATGCCTCATCTTTCTCCTGTAGAAGGGCTGGTGGGTTCAAACTGTTGACCTTTTGGTTTACAGCTCAATGTTTTAACCACTGTGCCACCAGAGCTCCTTCAAGAAATTATGCATTGCATTGGACAAATCTGCTGTAAAAGACTTGTTTAAAGTGTTTTTTTAAAAAATAATAATAATAATATGTCACTTTGATGAATAAAGTGCATCTGACTTAAGCCATGGTGTTTATAATCGTCACATATGTATGCAAAACAGGACAATAAATAAGGAAGACCAAAGAAGAATCAATGCCTTTGAATTATGGTCTTGGTGAAGAGTACTGAATATACCATGGACTGCCAGAAGCACAAACAAATCTGTCTAGGAAAATGTACAGCTGGAATGCTCCTTAGAAATGAAAATAGCCAGGCTTCGTCTCTCAACACTTTGATCATGTAATCAGGGGATACCAATCTCTGGAGAAGGACATCATGCTTGGTAAAGTAGAGGGCCAGCAAAAAAAAGGAAGACGCTCAAAGAGATGGATTAACACAGTTGCTGGAACAATGAGCTAAAGCATGGCAATGATTGTGAGGATGGCACATGACCGGACAGTGTTTTGTTGTGTTGTACATAGGGTCACTAGTAGTTAGAATTGACTTGCCAGCACCTAACAACATAACAACAAGATATCGATCATGATGGTCCGATCTACAACTGATCATGCAGATAACACAGGACCAAGCAATGTTTGGAGTCCTTGGGTGGCCCAAAGAGTTAACATATTCAGCTACTATCCAAAAGGTTGGTGATTCAAGTCTACCCAGAGACACTTCAGCACAAAGGTCTGGAGATATCCTTCCAAAAAATCAGAGATTGCAAACCCTACACAACACAGTTACACTGTCCCACAAATGGAATCACCATGAATTTACTCGATGGCCTTTGATATACTCATATACATAATGTTATAATCTTGAGTTTGTTGGCCCTGCTCCAATTTTCTTCCCACTATCAATTTTCCATAAGTTTACTAAACTCTGACTGTTGTCATATATCCCACAGTGTGGTATATTGCAACAGATAATTCCATGTTGATTTTCTGTGAAAATGACATCATATCTTCTTATCTGGGGCAAAATTATTTAGATTTTGTATAAAATATCCTTTGGAATATTTGTGCCTATTAATTGCCCTGTCCCAATTGCAAATGTTGTTTTATATCATTCCCCAAAAGTCACTCATTTTACAATATATTAATTAATACTAAATCAAAACAGCTAAAATTGTCTTTTGGTGTGGCTGAAAGATGATGAGTATCTCAAAATCTTGTCTGATTGACAGCTGTCAGCTAGAAATGAATCCATAGTTTGAACAATTTGATGTCATGCATTTTAGTTCTTGGATTTTACTTAATATTTTTAATTTATAAGTTAATGTACTACTAACTGAATATCTCAGAACTAACAAATCTGTCCTGGAAGAAGTGCAGCTGGAATGCTCCTTGGAAGCAAGAATGGCCAGACTTCATCTTACCTACTTTGGTCATGTTGTCAGAAAGGACCATTCCTTGGAGAAGGATATCATGCTTGGTAAAGTGGAGGGTCACGGAAAAAGGGGAAGGCTCTCAACAAGATGGATTGACACAGTGACTGCAATGATGGGCTCAGGTATAGCAAGGATTGTGAGGCTGGCACAAGACCAGGCAGTGTTCCGTTCTGTTGTACATGGGGTCACTATGAGTTGGAGCCAACTTGGCAGCACCTAACAACAACAACAACTGAATATCTCTACATCATAAGGTTCTGATTGGGATTTTACCAGCCTCTTTCATCAAGACTGTCATAGGGACTTTCCCAGCTATACAAATCAAAGAAACTCATAATAAAATAGCTGTTCCTATTGCTGCAAATGATGGTGATGAGTAAATACAGAAGCATTGACAAAAGACCTCAGGTGTCATATCTAATTTTAAAGTATGGTGCTGAAAACTTTGGTGGTCTATTTTAGTCATAGTGGAAGAAAAAGTAAACACTGGATAATATTAGAAACTTGGATGTATATTAAAAAATATAAAACCAGTTGCTGTCGAGTCAGTTCCAACTTATGATGATCCCATGCATGTTAAATAGATCTGTACTCCATAGGATTTTGAAGGCTGATTTTCTGGAAGTGGGTTACCTGGCTTTTCTTCCCTGGAAACTCTGGGACCACCAATATTTCAGTTATCAGCAAAGCATTTTAATCATTTGGGCCACTCAGGGACTCCATCATTTGTCTGCCTTTACAAATAGTCATTTTCAAATAAAAACTTTGCTTTTATTCAGAGAGCTTCAATAAGTTTTTGAGAAGAGATTCCAAGTTAAGAAAGGGTGTTAACCTCTATTAGCCTATGTCAACACCAGACTGAGGGTACAAAATTTTGACATACTCAGCCAAGTAGAGGCACTGACATCACAGATTCTATCAGGCCCATAGTGAAAGTTACAATTGAACAATGTGGCAGGAAGAGAATGCTAGGAACATATACCATCTGTTTGTTTTTAAAATTCTTTAATGTATGTCTTCAAATTGCAAAACAAAAGAACAAGTAAACACACTTTAATTCAAATTTTAGATAAGAACTCTATTTTAATTATCTGGTAAAAACCACGGCTAAACATTGTTCAGGGAGTCTTTTGCTACAGTGCAGTGGTTCCCAATCAGAAGTGATTTTGTCCTCCAAGGACATTTTTGGCATTGTCTGGAGATAGGTTTAATTGTCACAACTGGAGAGCACTACCAGAATCTAGTCGGTAGAGACCAGGGATGCTGCTAAACATGCTACAATGTAGAGGACAGCCCCCTACGTTAAAGAATTCTCTGGCCAAAAACTTCAATAGTGCTGAAGCTACATGTATGATCATGGTAGTCTATGTTCACTCTTGGGTTATTTCCACCAACAGATTTACATAAAACTAGTATCCTAAGTTCAATGCCTTTGGCAAAAAATAAAAAAAAATGTCATCCTAAGAAAACAAATGTCTATAATTGTTTCTTTGGGTAAATATATATTTTATCAAAACCTAATATGTACTTAATAAAATGAGATATGATTTTTGAAGTTTGCACTGACAGTTTGAGTAGATTAAAAATGTATTTATGTGTATATTGTTATAGAGTATCTCTGGGGTATTTTTCCACAAATTGTTTATGTCTTTGATATCAGCTCAGGCAAGATTTTCAAAGATAACAAAAAACATCAGAATTTCTTTGAAGACCTCTTTATCACCAGGTTACCTGATACTGGATGACTCACAGATGAAGCTCCCTAACTTTACTGTTGAGAAGCTTCTCAATAAGCCCCCTTCAAATATTGCCCCCTGATAATGTCACATGGCATCCTGCCAGGAAACACTATTTCTAAAATAAATAAATAATCCATTAACTACCCACACAATATTCCTAAAACATTTCAAAAGTTAGGAAGAAGGCTGAACACTTTATTGGCATTCAAATTCAATTAACCACAAACATTTCTACCAAAAGAACAATGCTGTCATTAAACAAATCTAGTGCTAAATTAATAAGGACTTGTCAAGATTTCTATACTACCTTTCTCCTTTCATGGAATGAATTATATCTATCAGTACTAGTTGCTGTCAAATCGACTCCTGGTGACTCCATATGTGTCCTAGTAGAACTGTGCTCCATAGGATTTTTAATGGCTGACTTTTTAGCAGTAGATCTCCAGGTCTTTCTTTCAAGGCACTTCTGGGTGGACACAGGCCTCCAATCCTTCGGTTAGCAGCCAAATGTGTTAACCCTTTGTACCATGTAGCAAATTATATGTACAGAAGGAAAAAAAAAAGACCACTGTTAATATAAATTTTTTGCCATTGTTTAGAAATAGACATGTAATCAGATTCTACTTGTAGATTTATTAGGAGACATTAACTTCACAACCAAATTTCTCCTATCAACTAGCTACCCATTTGTTCTAGCAACACTTTACCCCATCAAAAAATAAGAATGCTATAGCCTTGTTACAAGAAAAACATTCTTGGGAAAACATTATTTTCATTTTCATACCTTTTTTTTTTTTTTTTTTTACTGATCAAACAATAAAAATCACCATCGTACTAGTGGCTGCCATTTACTAATCACCTGTGATGCACTAGAACCTATGTCAGACATTCAGCGTGCTGATAACATAGCTATCCTGCCGGTTAGATATCTCCCTCACTATATGCAGTTATGAAGCCTCAGAAACCCAAGAAGACTTCATTCCACAGCCAATGATATATCACCATATCAAGAGAACTTAGGAATTTTTATCCCTTTGTGTTTTCCTTTGAACATTATTATATTGTTAAAATTCCTAACTTTGGACAGATCACATAATATTGCTTACACTTGGATTCCTGCCTGATAGTCAACTGAGCAAAGATAATTTGCTTGTTGTGGTCCTTTTCTTTCTATAGCCTCAAGACATGGGAACAAATAAAATATTTTTTGTTTGTAATACATCTTTAGCTCAATTTCTCTTTAGTAGAGTGACTTTGATCCATTCAGACATTCATATACACCCTCATTTGTACACTGTCATAAGACATGGATACAAGATATTTAGAATGAAAGAGAAAAGACTGTGTATTCTCTGCCTGAAACTTTTCCTCACTACTCAGCTGTGCGTGTGTGTGTGTGTGTGTGTGTGTGTGTACAAAGAAAGAGATTAAGACATAGAGGAGGGCGGGGACATGAGAGAGAGAAAGGAAGAAAGAAAAGAAGAGAGAATGGAAAGAGAAAGGGTGAGGGAATGGGAGAAGGAGGGAGGACTGCTTTACAGCCACTAAGATTACAGACAGAAATAGCTTACAACTGCCGGGAGCTGTATGTAACTCAGAAACTAAGACCAAATTTTATTCACTTTTATTAAGCAGTTGCTCAGAAAGAAAGGAATGACACCTGGTCCTGTCTTCTTCTACATCTGGATTATTGGAAAATATTGTAAGTATGCTTACTATTTAATTTATGTATATGTTAGTATTTTTAGAAATGAGCACAAGTACAAGTGTTTATCAATTACATTTACATTTTTAATATATAAAAATTCATTTTCTGATAAAATTATAATCTCACTTCAGAGTTATTATTCTTAGTAAGTTTCTGGTATTTATTTTAACATTACTCTAGCCCGAATAACAGGTTTTATAGAGCTATGCTTCATAATGACCAATTTGTATAATTGATATGAACAATTCACAAATAATTTTGTAATGTTTAAAAAAGTAGTAGTCCTCAAAGATCAGGTTTTATACAAGGAGTATGTCTAGTGAAATGCACTGGAGAAGTCTCAACAGTTGTTCTGGTTACCATGCAAGTTTAATGCTTTGTCTTCCTTTGCCCATTGTGGGTTAATATCATAGGTGTGCTTCCTGTAAGAGAGATGCATTCACACTACTTTTTTTCCTAATTTTTCAAGATTTCTCACTATTTCTTGAAAGAAAAACAAGGAAATGCACTAAGCAACTAAACATACATGTATTCACACACACAATGAGCTCCAAATAGATGTTACACTTTTGCTGTAATGACAAATTTTGCTCTCTCTATATGTGCCATAGGTTATTTTTTCAGAAAATCATCTAATTCAAGGGAAGGAGTTGATATACTTAAGCCCTACTTGATATTATGTAAACAGAAATAAAATGCTTCTTTCTGAGAAAGTCACAGTAAACCAAGAAAGAAAAATTTCTGGATACCTTTAATACCTTATGATGCTGGAGGAATGATTAAGTTTTAACAAACTTAGAATTCACAAGTATGCTTATGTTCCTCCATCTCATAAAAGCTTGCAAAAGTTTTGTTTCCACTAAGATATTCTATTGAGGAATGTCGCCAAATGAATTTCCATCCTAATTCTCCCAATTCTGATGGTATGCATTGCACCAAAATGATTTATTTTCCCATTCCTCCTTTTCTCCTCTTGACCTCTAGTACACCTTACCCTTGTGGTCAAAAATAGGGGACAGCATCAAAACTAGAAAAGCCACTAAGACTAAGAATTTATCTGAAGAAATAATCTAATTTGTAGCTTTTTCTATCTCTATTTTTAATTTTTGGCATCCCTATTTTTTAGCTGGAGGGGAAAAAGTCAAATTGCAAACCACCACCAAAAATTGGAATGTTTCTAATTATAATCCAGTGTTTCAGCTACCAGAGTCTTTGACATTTGCAGCCAACATTGTAATAAATCAATTACATATTTTACCTTCCCCTATTACCTTTCAATGAAATGAGTGAATAGACTAAATAAAACACATAGACGTTCTAGTGTAAGGAATTGAAAGGTATGTAAAAGATGTTCAGGACAGTTTGAGAAGCAACTTTGACTAATGTGTTACCAGTCATTCTGGGTTAGTAAAAAAAAGTTCCATGTCTACATGTTCTCTTTTGTTAAGAATTTATTTGCTTGAGCAGAAAATAGATCATGATAATGTTGATATCAATGATGAGGATTCCTCCCTAATTCTTCCATTATTTCAAATTTTAAGTTCGGTTTGTTTTGGTTTTGTTTTAAAAAATTTTTTTTTTTTTAATTTTATAATGCAATATGACTACTTGGAAGCTCCAACCTTCCACAGAGGATGAAGACGCAAACATCTGTTGATGTGTTGCAGAGTTTGGCCAGCCAGATTTCTGTCTTCATGGTATTAACTGGGGTTTGGGGAAGCCACTTGTCTGGGATCTCTGAAATAGCAACTCATATTTTTGGTTTATATTTTAGTGTAGCACATCCCCAACCCCACCTAAGAGAGGCAGTCCAGTGCATATAGCAAAGAAATTCAACAATACCTTTAAGGAAAAATTCATAAACCTTTGTGACTTATCCATGGTTGTTGTTTTTGTTTTGTATCCACAGTCTTGCTATCTGGAATGCATTATCACAGAAGATTCCTGACCTAAGGTGCTCTGTGATTTTTGACAAATGACTTAGCTCTCTGGTCCTTAGTTTGTAAAATGGCACTAACATCCTTTACCCTACCAATTTCTCAGAGCCCCTGCATTTGGTTCTTTATCACGTAGATTATCTCCTTGAATCTTCACCACAATTCTATGATCTTGATACCATTAAGCACATGAGAAAGACCAGGCCCAAGAACATCCAGTGCCTTATCACAAGATGCAAGGTATTAAATACCAAGATTTGAATGTTTTCAAGGTCTATGCTCGTTCTCCTAAACCATGGACAATCTCATAGAGATAATGTATATAGTTTTGAGAATTAAACGATTATTAGTTATCTTTTTAACCAAAAACACAAGTCAGGTACTTTAATAAGAAATAAAAATAAAGAATGAATACAGCACAATCCCTGCTCTGAAGTGATGGGGGGGTGGATATAGCAAATTAATATCTAATTATCAGTTAGACAAGTATGAAAACCAAGGTGTACACCAATGGGGCAGCATGAAGATTCAGAGGCTTCCTTTTAGACTTGAAAAGTTTTCATTTTTAAAAATTCTTCTGTCTGTAGCCTAGTAAATTGTGTTGTGTCAATGCCAATTTCCTAGTTTTGAAATGGAAATGTATTATAATTATGTAATTATATATTAATATATTATAATTACATAAGATTTTAGTGTTAGGGGAAATTGGATGAAAAGTTATGGGACCTCTCTCTTATACATATATATTCTGTAATATAATATACATATATATTCTATATTCTATATTTTCTATAATATATATATAATATATATGTATGTATTATATTGTTTTGTATCACCTCTCTTGTTATCTGGGAAAGATAGATATAGATATGTAGTAAAAACTGTAAAGCTGGAAGCTGTGCAAAACTCAGACTTGTCAGAGAAGGAAAACTCAAATATTTCCACTAACAGAGAGTGATAGAATAGTGGTGAGACTGCACCCTGTCAAAGGTAGAAAACTTGAAAGACCTATAAAAACAAGCAGTCCCATCAAGTTCCAGCTTTCACAGGTTTCACTATATATGCAACTACCTATATCTATAATTATTTCAAAATTAAAAGTCCAGGAACAGTTGTATCATAAGTACTTATCAGCATAGGCCTTAATTATTACTTAAACAGTATTACCAAGCAAAAACAATCATTTTACTTATACTTTTGATAATCAGGGAACAAAAATAAGGAAGTAAGAAATAGAAGGGGCCCAAACTTGTACTTGATCTACTTCAATATTTTACCAAGGATTAGTCTAGCTAGTAAGGTTCTCACTTTTAGATTCCAGGTGGATACTTGTGAGACCACCTAGTCTTTGCCTAGCATCCCAGCACTGGCATATCTTCTAGCAAGTCTCTTCTCTAATCATGAAGAAGGGGAAGGAAGAAGACAGTGCCTGGACAGACCATTAGCTTGATTAGCATATAAAAAAGTAGAATACTACTGTATGTATCCACTTCCAAAATATAAAAAAATAGCCTTCTTTTGCGCAGAAAACAGAACCACCTAATATTCCATTTTATCTTTTTAAGATTCCCAATAATTTTGTATTATTACTACAAACTTGGAACCATAGTTTTGAATTTCAAGTAGAAAGAAAACTAATAAACCTATGGAAATAGTATCATCTGTATTAAGGAAAAGAGATTATTTTATTTTTGAACAAGCATAACTACACACATCAGGACAAATTTATTAAACTGAAATACCTGGAGCTGGGTATTCTAGCTAGGTTTATCCTTTACATGAAAGGAACCATAAGCATTTCATCTATTTGGATTTCAAGCATTATGGTTGTGATTCTGGGTGTGCTGTTTTTATACTGTGAGGTGTTTTTATACTGTTTTTGTACTGAGAGCTTTCCACGGACCAGGAATTATGCTAAGTGCTTTACAAATATTATCTTAGTTTATCCCCATAACAAATGGGGGAAACTCTTCATGAAATGGATTGACATAATAGCTGCAACAATGGCCTCAAACATACCAACAATTATAAGGATGGCAGAGAACTGAGCGATGTTTCATTCTATTATACATATGATCTCCACAAGTTGGAACCAACTCAACAGCAACTAACAACAGCATCCCTATAACAACCCTGTGAAATACCCTACTTTACAAAACAGGAAACAGAAAATGAGAAATACTAAGTAGCTTGCCTAGTATCACCCATTAGTAAGTGTTGCAAAAGAGATATGGATCCAATCCTGTCTCCTTGAGAAATATGTTTCTTATAATAGATGATTCAGTTCTAATATTTTCTAAGATTATAGTGCTTTATCATTAGATGAGGGCCCAACCTATTATCTGATCTAACCCATTGGACTTCAGGCAAGTTGGCTATGTGTCTATTTTAGAGATTAAACAGTAAAGAAATATTTACTAGTTCAAGGTCACAAAGCTGGCAAATCAATTGGTCTAGATCCTATCACAGCGCCACCCCTCCCATCCCAGGAAGTTCAACAAATTCATGCTCAGTGTTTATGGATCTCCCAATATGAGCTTCTTCTCTCTGTTCTACTCACATTCCCCAGTGTACACCAACTGATGAACCAGGATACATAAGAAAATAATTTGAAGGTATAGAAAATTAGGCATCCCAGGATTTCACCTAGAAATCGTTTTTGTTTGCAGTGCATGGAACAGAGGTATACATATAGCAAGTACAAATATATATTCATTGAACTGAATTGACTTCATTCCTTTATTAGCTTATTTCTCCCTCTCCCTGGATATTCTCTCCACTCATCATCTCCACAATCCCAATAGCTGTATTGATTAAATACTCTTGTCCTGTTCAGTTCTACAGCTTCATGCATCACACTGATCAGAACAACAAGAGCCCATCACTGAAACCAAAGACTCTTCCTTTTTTTGGAGACAAGCAGGTACAAGTTGAGAATATTTCAAATTTAGGTTTGTTCTTTATCACACTCATAAGGGTCAAGAATAAAAAAGACAAGGTAAAATGAACTCTACTGCTCTGGTGGCATAGTACCTAAGGCATGTGACTGCTAAC